ACTTAGATTACGACAAAGCACGCAACGTTTATGTGTCCAAGGAGAGGAATGTCATCGTGGAGGACTTTTAAGGCGTATCGACAATACTTAAAGAGATACACCACTATAGCTGTTTTGCAGCCAGCCCATTCGCCAGGATTTGTAAACAGCTCAAACTATCAGTATTCATCGGGGCTACTGGAAAGCAGTTCGATATGCAGAGGCTAAATTTTACGCTTATTGAAATGAAATACTAAATAGATATGATCTTGCTATAGTCAAGATTATGTTAAAAATAGCTTGCACTGAAAGCTGAAAGACTTACTATTGCTTAAAAGTTTATCATAATTAGAACTAGTACAGTTTTCTACTTATGTCCAGATTTAGATGAGCGATGACTGCTAATTTTGAGCATCGTTTCTGTAGTACCAGGGTCCTAGTGATCAAACTTCCTTTGGGTCATGAGCGTTTGTTAGGAATAAATAAACCAGAAATTTACGCGTTAAATCTGAGTTTTAATTAAGGAAATATAAATTAATTTTTAATAAGCAAAAAATGCAACCTTTTAAAAAATTTTCCTATAGATTGGAAGACTAGAATTAAAATGAAAATAGAAAGCTTAAAGTCATTAAGCAACTTCAAACTGACAACTGAGAAATAGTCATCCTGTAATTCTTTATTATATTATTCTTTATTATATGTTAATTCTTTATTACCATCTACTTCGTTCTTTAACTCAAACGTAACTTTTTACATTCACTCAGAAATTAAAAATGATTATTTTAAATAAAGGTAATAATTTTGAATTTATGACCGTGTTTAATGACTTTTTCTTAGTATTTAAGGATGAAAACTGACTGAAAGAAGATATTTTATTTGAAAAATAAAGCTAATTAACGAGATAGATATTTAATTTTATTTTCATCAATGCATAATATGTCAGATCTATGAAAATATATTAAGGTGCATTTATATGATTTCAGTCTATATATATATATGCAGTGTTTTGATAGTATTAGAATATCGCATATATTCGCAGAACTAATCACGCTAAAATAAACAACCGAATCCTCTCGTTTTCTAACTTCGGGGAAATAAAGCGAAAGAACACATTCATCAATGGAAATTAGCTTTTCTAATAAATTAAGCCAGCTAATCCCATTCTGTCGAACGCATATCTATGCATTCTCTTTGGTAATGAGATGATTATGTCCTACGTCGTCAGCGTTAATTCTTTGGAGATATTTTTAGGCAGAAATATTTACAGCCTAAACAAATGTCATATTCAATGACATTCTCTAATAGCTTATTTCCGACAATCTGTTGTTTCTATAGCATGGAAGCATGTTTCCAAAAACAAAAAATTAAAATTAAAAAAAGAGAAGGAACATATTCATCGGTTTAAATTAATGTGTTGTTTTTACTATCCTGCTTAGATTTATCAAGCTCTATCTATGTAAAATCTTTAAAAGTTTTTTGGATAAAACTGAGAAGGAGAATTTATATATTAATTTCGAATATCCGCTTGCATCGGGTTGGCAAAAAAAGTAATTATTTTAGTACAAATTAAAACTCAGTTTTTCTATACAAAAAAATTAAATTTAATCAGTCATTCTCCATTCTGTTCATATCTCCATTCTATTCGACGACCCTTTCCCATATTTTTGGAAATTTCATGATTCCGCCCTCACAGAACTTGTGGTCGTTATTAATAAAAAAACTCAGCACCATTTTAAAAGTTTTTTAAACTTCTAAATAAATGACAATCCAATGTGGCAAGGTGGGGCTATATGAGGAATATGACATCACATACCAGCAAAGATCCAGTAATTTCGTACATGTTGCTAAAAATGTGTGAGGGCTCGCATTTTCGTGTTGGAACATGATCCCTTTGCCTTTTTGCCAATTCTGGCCTTTTCTCTTTGATTGCTTCCTCCAGTTTCATAAATTGTTGGAAGTGAACATCTGAGTTGAAGGTCTGGTTGCTTGAAAGCAGCTCAAAATACAAAATACCGCTGTAATCCCACCAGAGATGTTCTCAACTTTTTTTGTCCCTAAGAGCACATTCTAGAGTATCTATTGGACGGCAGGCACCATTTACGTTTTCAAGGTGTATTTATAGTTGGATAGAATTGATAATACATGCACATGAAAAACGAAATCTGTCGCATTTCGATTTCTCCACATATGCATATCTGTGTTGGACGCAATTTCCATTTCCTTAAAAATGAGAAAACTTTCAAGTAAAATTTTGTTGGCCCCTTAACTTATTTAAATACGAAGCTTAGCAAGGGCCTGAGTATGGCGGAGCGTAATAACAACTTTGAGAGAGAGAGAGTGGCCAAAAAGGCAGACGCACGTAAATCAGAAACTCTGATTCTATCTGACTCAGTAAGTAACTTCGTGGTTTAAATATCGCTCCTCCTCATTAAATATTCAGCAAGATTCCAAAACTACGTTCTGGCCGGAAGTAGTAAGTTGAAGTTAAGAATTTGACAGGAAAGGAACTTTAACTTAAAATTTAACTGTTAATAAAATTAACATAATCCTTACATACGTTTAAAGTGTTTCATTTTGAACCCAATATTAAAACTGACAGTTATAAACAAAAATATCTAGAATTTGTTTCGCTAGCAAGCTAAAAGAGGCAGTTGCCAAATGGCAAAAGAAAAAAAAAATCATCAGATTGACAGCAGAATACCAAAACAAATATAATGCCATCTATTTGTTCAAACCGAAATTACTTCCTGGCCAACCCATTGTAGAAATCTTTAATGAATAAACTGCTCACAAAAATAAATTAATTTAGACTTTCAAAAACCAGAATGTCATTCGATTTCCTATTTTTTCATTTGTGGTTATTACTGCTTAAAAGCTTAAATTAACATATAATTTATATCTTGTTTGGATTAAAATATAAACTGTCATGTGTTGAATAACATCACTAGGGAGAAAATTAGAGTTCTACTCCGGAAACTCCCGAAAAGGAATGGTTAGCCGTCTCAATAAAAGCATCTTCAAGTGATACTTACGACTTCTAATCTTGATCATATTATGCCTATTTTTTTTTCTTTCGAAAAGGCAGTTTATCGCCCACTTGATGATAAACTACTTTTGTTAAATGACTAATAACTATTTTTGTTAAATGGTATTCTGCTGTTTTGGTATTTAGTCTTGCAGATAGATATAAATTTTCTATTATTATTATTATTATTATTATTATTATTATTATTATATATACTATATATATTAGTTAATCATCAGTATTCTTTTATAATTATTTCATATCATCTTTATTTTATGCCATTTACCAAACATTATTTTACATAAATTTTTTTATCAAATATCTTTTATAATACTGAATATTATTTGCATTTTAAATAATTTATTATATGATTTAAAAGTTGTCTGTATTATCTATATCAAACCTACTATACACAAGAGTTTTGTAGATATTCAGCCATAAGATAAATGCAAGTAAGAAAATAATTATCTTTCAAAGATGTTATACTGAGAAAGAAACATTTTATACAGTAACATCTGTTTAAAGAAAATCACGTACTTGATGATACATGTTTTTAAAAACTTATTATAAATAAGCAAGTTCACAAGTTATCACATGCCTAATAGATGCCTAAATCACCTAATTAAAAAAAAACACATAAGTACACGTCTTTTTTTTATCACATAGCAACTACCCTCGCCAAAAACTCTTATTGCCCCGACTAATAAAAAATAATTAAAATTCAAGTGCATTTTTAGAATAAGTAAAAAAAGTGTATTTTTAGAATTTACCTATGTTGAAGTAATGGGTTTAAGTTTTACTGAAAACTTTATTTGAAATTCGCATTGTCTGCGAGTAAGAATACAGGGGAAAGTCTGTTTAACATTTGAGTACTTGGGTAGCTCGGTAATTTGGCGAGATATAGCCAAGTTGATAACGGTTTTGGCGACTATTGTCAAATGGTCGATTGCCTAATTGCCGTAGTAGATATTATAATTGAATAAATGTAATATATCACTATATTAGTCATCAATATAACCGTAACCGTATTCGACCGCTATAACCGTAATTCGACCCTCATACTGCCTTCCACTGATTTCGAGAAGCAGAAAGTACTAGAAATATCTCAGCGGCAGGGTGAAAACAATATAAGGCTGGTGAGAATATATGCTCTCAGTTGTTGTTAGTTGTTATCTCAGCTTGAATTCGGAGTACTGAGATACCTCCGGGTAGATTTCTCTTTTCTTTGCGTTGGGTTGTGTTTAACGTTCATAGTAGTTTGAAGTATAACTACTAATTGTATTCTGTAATATTGTGAAGAGCTATACGACTATCTTTGTGGAACGTTCCTGCTCTTTGGAGTGTTTCATTTGATAAAATAAATCTTATCAACCTATCATCGGAGCTGTATGCATTTAATCTATTTCGAACCTGCACGAAGGCATCAATACCTTTTTCACTGTTGTTTGTTCAGATGCTTATATAGATTTTTGTTTAAAATTGATCAAATTAATTTTTCAGTGAAAGCGATTGAAATATATTACTTTTACAATAAGGATCCAGGGTTTGGTCATTGATTTGAGTCAAACCTTTTTTTTATTAAATTAATTGTGTTTAATATTAAGTTTGATAGCAAATGGTAAGGAAATCTTTTCTTAAATTATCATTTAGGAAGATACTTTCCTACATGATATTAATAGAAAAATGTTCTACACTTACATAAATTAATTTGAAAGCAAATCGTTTAATAAGATAATTTTAATATCATCATTTGATATCCCGTCAATTTATATTTCAAAACATAAATTGTGTAGTATATTTTTAGGAAACATATGATCTCTTTTTTTTTCAATAGCAAAACTTATTTTGCTTCATAGAACATTATGCAAAAAATTTTTAATATTTCTTACGCTTCATTTCATCTCAGCCACTAATGACATCTTCTGAAGCAATTCCCAATAAATTTAGCTGTAAATTGTAAGGATTTAAGAACATTTATTAGGTTCTTAATACTTACCGGTTACAAGAAGTCTAGTGTGAGCCCTTTCTTCTCCCAAACTATTGTTAACGAGACATACGTAATGACCACTGTCTGCAACTGTTGCTTGTTGGATTATTAAAGTACCTTCAAGCTGCGAAATGCGATGAATTGGTGCTATAGGTCTCAGCTGTCCATTTTCTTGAAGATACCACCTGTATTGTGGTAGAGGAAAGGCGCGAGCGGTGCAAGGAAGAGCTATCAAGTCGCCCCTGCGTCCTGAAACTTGCATCTTTACGTCCGTTATATGTGGCTTGGTATTACCTTTCGCTTCTGAAAGATGGAAACAAAATGGAGAAATCAGAAAATGATGCAAATAACTTATCATCATTAATTTCGTAGCATAACAAAATTGGCTGTAAAAATTTATTAATTTGTATATATTTTTGAGTACCGAGTACTTTAAATTATTGATATGCTGTTAAATATATATTTGATTTATTCTACAGAATTCTAGATATGTTGCCTTTAACCCAGTAGCTCATATTCTGAAGCAGTTCAGAGTGTGTCTCTTAATATTTATTTCTTAAATTATTATGTAAGAATGCATATACCAGCAAATGGGAAAATAAGGGATATAAAACATGAATTTTTCATGAATTTCAATAATCGGTCACTTTCATTTATGTACCGTACATTTTTAAAGTAAAATATTTGAAATTGAAGTGCATATATTCATATATTTAATTCTCATTTTCTTGTACTGATACCACTCTACGCAGTCAAGTTCCGTTTCATTACGAGCAGCTCTTATCAACTGCTGTTCAACCAAGTCGAATCCTCAAATTTTAACTGGTATTTGCGTAAAAGTTTAAGAAAAATAAGAAAAAGACAAAGACGAGAAAATATTATAAGATACTATCTAAATCAACACAGATTATTTAATAATCTCTGAAGAGTTTGAGATTGTTAACTTAATTTATGTCTATCTAATCCTTTCCTATCTATGTCTATTATGTCTATCTAATCATTTCGTATAACCACCTCGATTTTCATAACATTAAAAACTGCTGCTTGGCAGAGGTATAAACAAGCTTATTAAAATTAACGGAATTGGTATTTTTATGCTGAAGTTATCGTAGTTTTCCAATGTGAAAAATTGCTGTTCATCATTGCAAACAGTTCTGGATAGCAAAAATATTTATCTTTCTCTATCTTTTAAAAATGCATAATTTTTTATAAGAATAGACTTAATTAACTACACTTTAGTTATCAATTAAAAGGGCGAATCTCAGGAAAAATAATTTTTTTAAATTTTTATTTGTTGATAAACTGAAAATTATTTTTAAGCATCTTGAATTTAACCTGAATCATCCGCTGCCCAGTGTTCATTATAGTTATTTCCAAAACGTGTTCCTTATATGGTCTTTGACGAAAAACATAAAGATCATTTTAGAAATATTTCTGCCAAACTTTGCGTTCTACGTTTCATAATATTCAGAGCTACCCAAGGATAATATCCTGAATTTATTACAACAGTAGTAATGAAGGTTGCAGTGATTTCTACAGAAGGTCTGCAGATTTTAAAAAATACCTTTTTCACAAATCTTTTCCCATTGTGGCATATTTTACAAAATGATGTCACGAATAATTTTAAATAATAAATTAATACAATAGGTATAGAGGTTTAATAATTCAATGCAAATTATCTCGGTATTTTTAAAAATAATTCTTTAAAGTGCTGTAGGTATTTCTCAAAAGTAGGTAAATAGAACGGGGAAAATATCTGAAAAAAAAAGCGTTGCTTTGCAGTCAGAGAGGATGAAGATGAGATCCCATGCCAAGTTATGGAGAGGGAATTTAATGAAGGAGCTCATGTTTGGTTGTGAAATCTCAAGCATCATCTCACCCAAGCTGTAAATAACCTTGGAGAGGACAATTCTGTGTGGTCAAGAAACAGAATGACGAAGTGCTTATAGTGCGTTCAGATAGAGTTAAATCTTCCTATGATAATGGAAGTTAGTTGTCTTGGTCTTGGGGATTACCTTCCCGGGAGCATATTTCACAAGTGCACATCTGTGTAGCCACCGAGGGAGTGGCTTCTAGGATGGACCAATGGGAATCCAGTAATATTTCTGTCATGTCACATGACCTTTCGCGTGCTTTAAGAATGAAACAAGATGGTTGAAAATATTTTGTCATGCGATTTTCTGTACAAAAGCAATTAAAGTCGATTCTTCTGAAAATTTTCATTGCGAAGTTAGATCAAATATAAGCAATAGTGAAGATTTCACTACCTGGTTGAAAGATTTCATGGTTGAAATAAATTTGACAAACACAATGTTGGATACTCCGCAAAAGTATTCATGTGTAAGATTATTTAATAAATGGTAAATAAAATGAAGAAAGAAATATGTAATAAACATCTGAGCCCAAGTGCTATCTTTACATAAAAGTATGCATGTGAGAAAAATATTTACATCAATTATATATGTAAATAGAAGTCTGCATTTTTTATTCCAGTCTATATGAAAAAGATGTTCTATAATAATTGCCAATGCAAAATTTTATTCAAAGTGAACTTTACTAATTTGCATTCGTATTCATTTAGTGTGTTAAATTTCACATTTAATAACTGCTCACTCTTAAATGTACTGTTTACACAAGAAATACTCATCAAAAAGACTGAATTTATCTTATTTCGCAACGAATATATTCAATTTATTCACATGTAACTTTTAAAGTTAACAATGGATATAATCAGATCAAGCACAATACATATTCTGAATCTTACACTTTAAAAGCCAAAAGAATGGAAGCCCTGAAATAAGAAAACACTAGATTCATTGTAACACTTCCAGTCCTTCTCAGCTCAATTAAAAATTATGTCAATAATATATATGTGAAAAATACGCTCAATTAAAAATGCGCTTGAATGCTCTTAATCCACAAGTGTTAGTAAATGCATAATATTCGACGCTAATTGTAGCTTGAGTCCTTTTTTCAATGTAAGAGCGATAATATGCCGTAAACATCAATTCAAATATTAATGCGTGATAAAAATCGCGAAAGGGAAATGTCAGCGATTCATTAAACTCATAAAAACGAAATAACTAGGAGATTTTCTACTATTACGCCGTACATTTATAACTGCGAAACAAATGCAAATTAAAACGTAAGTTTTCGCTCACATGCATGAAGATTTAGCGTCACAAGAGCGATAGAAGCTCATTGGTCTATTTTCGAAACCCCTCCCTCAGTGGCTACGCTGATGTGCACTTGTGAAATATGCTTCCCGGGATGTGCAGGCCCTAAGGAGGTTGCGAAGTTATAAATTTCTATAAATAATTAAATTCATTTGATTGCATTTTTTTTATAACTTTGAAATACTGAGTACTGTTTTACCTATTTATTTTCTTTTATTTTTGAATCTCAGATAATAATTTTATGGCTTTTTATGTATTGAAATAGTGACCAAGTTTTGCATATAAGTGTTTAATTCTTTTATAGAATTGTAGATCTTTTAATTATGATTCCAGCAAATTATATATGGTGCAAATAGCTGAATTATAATGCTAGATATAATAAAAACACTCCTGAAGGGCTTCGAGATAGTTCTTGCCAATTTGGCGACTTTCTAGGAAATTAGGGAAAAAGCATTTTTAGATTTCCAGGACATATTTTTCTCGAAGGTTCCAGAAACCCGTGTAACACGATGACGAGCTAATTGCTTATCAATTCAGATTCAGTTATAAAAGTTTCAGAGAAACTGCTGTTCAAAGCTTTAGTTGAATGGCATTTTATAGTTTACTCTGTGAGTATTATTTACAGTTCACAGTATTTCTCGTATATTAAGGAATATTTGCCTAATATCTGAGTTCTTCTGGAGTTATCTACAGCTATTTATTTTACTATGTGTCATTATTAATCTAACTTAATTAATAGTTCCATGTTGCTGGTTTGAAATGATTATTTAAAAGAAAGATTCAAAAATTCACAGCTCAAATCGAAACATATTTCGCAGTTTCATTCTTCTCTCTCTATTCTATTTTTTAAAAGTTTTAGGCATTGACAAAATTTTTAAGTAAATATTTAAGAAATGTATTTTAAAAACCGAGTAACTCATGCGCAAAATACTTCACGAGCTTATAGTTAAGTTCTAATCCAACAATACAGAAATATTTAAATTAACAAAACTGTGATAGGTTGGGAAAGAATTCAAATGCTACTGACCTCTTTGAATGCTTCTTACTATTTTTATGAATATATTTTGAACATATCCCGCGTAATAAGTCTCAAACATCCCTTTCCTGTTATTCACGTTTTTGCCATTCATCTAAAATTTCATCAGTGGAACAATAAGTCATTTATGTGCAATAAAATAAGACTCGGAATTTAAAAGAACTCTGTCTTTTAATAGACAGTTAAATTACATGTACGATGTTTGTTAATGAATGCAATAATATTTTAATACATAAATTTGTTGATATTATTTCGTTGAAAACTGAGTAAGAAATATCCTTAACAAAGGAATTAAATATTGACCGTTCATTTGGGGATTCAGAACAAAATGTTCTCAACTGATGACAGTATTAAATTAACAACTACTTATAGCAACGTATTTTTTCCTTTTGGATGCAGGTCGCTGTAACATGTATCAACTGTAAAATATTGTGTATGTTTTAAATTTTGTTTTAACAAAGCCATCTTATTCTGTTTTTCTTAAAAGATTCTTTAAACACCAATACAAATTTCTACTTCAGGAAGAAATGTTTTTTTACAATAACCGGCAAATATATTTTTTTTCATTTAAAGTAATAATACTATAATGGCAAACACCGAAGTAAATTTTTCAATTCCTATATTGAAAACAAATCATTAACAATATTTCTACTTTTAAAAAGGCTGTTAAACGGTGCTGTCTTCCTTGCTATGTGTAGCTTGCAAAAATCTATCAAATATTGGAAAATTATTTTGAAATGCGTGTGATTCTACGTTTCGTAAGCTTCTGAGAAAGTCCAGCATATTGCCTTCTGGATAAAAAGTTCCACTTCATTATGGAATGAATAATTAGCTAGTAGAATCCCTTCAGCAATATTTAACGGTTAATTAATTATAGTTACCCTCACGGCTGATTAATTAATTGCTCTATTTTATTGTAATTTATCTCCAATAAAAAGTAAGTCTAGATTTTTATGAATGGATTTATTGGACAATAGGCACATAAAATAGTTTCGATGCAGGTGCAGCTTTAAATTTCAACATTAAAATTTAGTGCCATCCCCTCCTTTATATTGGACTTAAGAGTTTAAAAAAACTGAAAGCTTTCAGCT